AGGGGAGGGAGGGGGGAGGAGGGAAAGAGAGAGACACACTTGTTTCTTTGGACAGGAGAGATGAGGGGAGAGCGCGGACGCAGTCCCCCACTACCAGAAATTACGCAGTTGAGATTCCCACATTTGGGGAATTCACAGGGGTCAGCACTTCCGGAGTGCAATGGACGAGCCTCGCCCTGGGCGAACCGCCTGGGTGATCACGGTGTCGCCCCTGCCAGGTAAGTATGAGGCGCTACTCCCGGAGCCCGGCCCCTGCTCCCGGCGGAGCGGCCGCCCGGGGACGGTCCGCGGGGTCCGGATGGCCGAGAGCGGGCGGGCGGACCCCGAGGAGGAGCTCTCGGGCCTGCCTGCCCGCCCGCCCGCCCGCCCGCCCTCCCCCGAAGCCAGCGGCCTCTGGTTAGCGGCAAACTAACGCACGTGAACGTTCGCGCGGACGAGGGAAAAAGTCAAACGGGCACCGCCGGGACGACATTTAGGCCCAGACCTAGGCCACGCGACGCCGAAAGACCGGCTAAGCGGACGGCACGGCCGTGCGCGCGGAGGACGGAAAGTTACTTTGGACAGAGGCGCAAAGCCCCGCCGCGAGACGGGGCGTTCAAAAATTGAGATAATCTCTTGTTGTTCCTCTCCACGGAAATCTTTAGTAAAAGGCGAAAGATTTGTACGATCTGAAGAGAAACAAGAGTGTCGGGCCAGAGGGGACGCACGCCGGCCAGCAGGCCGGGCCCCCGCCCACCCGTCACGGGCGGGCGGGCGGGGGGGCAAAGGGCTCTCTTTTCGCGTAGGCTACAGCAACTCGTTTGCACAAGGCGTGGGCAGCGGGAAGAGCAATGTGGCTACAGGAGGACTCCGGAAGGAAGGAAGTAGGGAGGGAGGGAGGGAGGGAGGGAGGGAGGGAGGGAGGGAAGGAAGGAAGGAAGGAAGGAAAGGAAGGAAGGAAGGAAGGAAGGAGGAAGGAAGGAAGGAAGGAAGGAAGCAAGCTGCCAGCCTGACAGGGAAAAAACATTGGATGAATGCAGGAGGCGGGCGGTGGGGAAAGAGTAGAGAAAACCAGGCAGGAGCGGGAAAAGAGGGGGACAAATAAACCCGGAAAGACGGAGAAAACACGCGCAGACGGGACACGGGCCGAGAGGACGGGAGAGAGAGAGGAGACGGCGGTTTTATATTTACCTGAGAGAAGAGGCGCACCGGTCCCGGAGGTACTGCAATACCGGGCGGATGCGTGGAGCGGACGGAGCGAGCCCCGGGTTCCGTCTCCCTGCTCCAAAAATCAATTTAATACATGGTCCCCGGGTAGGGGACGTATCAGATATTAAACTGATAAGAACAGATTTTTTCTTTCTTTCGAAAAAGGGTTTATTGACACACGTTACAAGTAAATATATTCATTTTTCAATTTCAGTTTACAGTTTCCATTTTAAGACATTGTAAAAAAACACATTTTAATACACACAATAAAAACTCACATCAACAGTAAAAGCACAATAAAACAGTGTAAAAGGCTAAAACAGTTGTGTCGGTTAAAATTGGTGTAAAAACAATGTCCATAAAAGTGTGTCAATTTAAAAGTCCATTAAAAGAGGGTGCAGTGATAAAAGTCTCTCTGTACAGGAGCGGGGTGAGTCCCTATCAAGGAGACTCATCCTGCTCTCCCGAACATTTGGTCTCTCGGTGACCCGTCCCGCTCAGAGGAGGTCCTCTCCGATGCTCCTTCCCTCCGACCGCACCCGGAGAGCCAGGCCGCTGCGACCTCGACCTTCGAGATAAGGCTCCGGTCACCTTCATCCGAATGAGCACAGAGGCGATTCTTCTTTGTGACTGTGTCCTAGGGCCCGCCGCCTGCAGCTACGGTCTCACTGACCGTAGCTGCTGCCTTCCGGATCACAGCCACGGGGGGGATCTGCATGTGCTTTCCTACCAGCAGGTTTCTGGAGGTCCACATGGCGTCTTTGATGGCGGCGAGGGTGAGCCAGATCCTTGTGAAGTCCTTTTTGGGAGTGGTCGGACTTAGGCCCACCCCGTACAGCACCAGCTGTGCTGTAAGGACCTCCCCTGCTGGTAGGTACGGGAATTGTAAGGTGCCGGCTGTAGCCCACTGATCTCTGGCAGCACTGCACTCCCAGAGGAGATGCCTCACCGACTCGGGCGCGCCACAACCCGGCCGGGGGCAGGTTGCGGTCAGGGATAACCTCCGGGAGTGCATGACGGACCTGACCGAGAGAACCTCATGAGCAACCAGCCAGGACAGGTCCCGGAGTCTGTTCGGGAGAGCAGGATGGTTGACGTTGCGCCAAACTGTTGTGGGCTCCCCTAGTGTGAGCCCGCGCACCGGACTCACGGGATCCCGCTCCTGCACAGAAGAGATCATTGCTTTATGCTTTGATAAAACCTGCAAACCCTCATGTGTCAATTTAAAACGTTCTAAAAAGGTGGGTATAAAAGCATAAAAACAAGGTAGGCTAAAAGACACTGGCACTCGGAGGTCCGTCGATAAAAACTTCTTCCTTCTTAAAAAGGAACCCATCCAGAATCTCACAAAGGCAGTAGTCTTTGGATTTCTGGATGGGTCCTGGGAAAGTGCAATGTGCGCTGCCGTGTATCCTGCTCCGAGGAAGAGGGGGAGGTCCGGGACACCCTTGCCTCCTTTCTCCTTTGGTCTCTTTAGGACCTCCCTCCTCAACCTCTCCCATCTGCCCCCCCAAATGAATTTAAAAATTTCCTTTTCCCATGTTAAAACACGGCTCTGGGGGGAATAAAAACAGAACAGGTTAGTAAAAACAGAGGTAAAATCACGGCTTTCACGATTAAAACCTTCCCTTCCATAGTCAGTCCTCTAAGTGCCCAGAACCCCAGTCTTTTCCTAACTTTCCCTGTAATGTCGGCCCAATTTAGACTCCCGCCCCCCTCCCGGTCGAACCTGATTCCCAGTATTTTATGTCCTGGGGTCACGGTAAGGGGGAGTCCTGCAGTCTCGTCGGGGGTCCATGGTCCGTACAGTTGGGCTTGGGTCTTAGCTCTGTTGAGCTTCGACCCAGAGGCCAGTCCGAAAAAGTCCGTTAAGTCCAGAGTCCTGTTTACAGATAAAATGTCGGTGCATAAAATATTCACGTCATCCATGTATAAAATTGCCTTTGTGGTGAGCCCCCCCCCACCCGGGATGCCCACCCCCCTGATTCGTTGGTCCCTTCTCAAGAGCTGTGCCAACGGTTCGATACATAAAATGTACAGGAGGGCAGATAACGGACAACCCTGACGGACACCGCAGTTGATTTGCACTGCTTTTGTCAGATGCCCGTTTACAATAAATCTACTGCTGATCCCTCGGTATAGCAGTCCCACCCACTCTATAAACCTATCAGGTAAACCCACGTTTCGCAGTACCTCGAAAAGGTACTGGTGCGAGACCCGATCGAAGGCTTTCTCAAAATCTAAATTTAGGACTACTAGCCGAATGTTTCTGTCTCTCGCGTAACAGATGGTGTCTCGGATCAGTACGAGGCTGTCGGTGATCCTCCTCCCCGGGACGGCACAGCCTTGATCCGGGTGAATCAAATCCCCTAAAAACATGGACAGACGTGAGGCTAAAATCTTACTAAAAATTTTTAAATCAACATTTAAAAGAGTGATCGGTCGCCAGTTGGTCAAGTCCGTCTTGTCTTTGTCTTTGGGGAGTAAGGTCACTATCCCTGTTCTAAAACTGTCGGGTAGTTGACCTAGTCGCCCAAAGTCCATTTAAAAAACAGTGAGTAAATCTGGTCTGCTAAAATATCCCAAAATTCATTGATAAAATTCCACCGGGAGCCCGTCGGCCCCCGGGGATTTGCCCCTTTTAAAACTATTAAAACACTTTCGCAGTTCTAAAAGGGTAAAATCTTGGGATAAAAACTCACTGTTTGTTAAAATTTTTTCGGTGGACTTTAAAACTTCAGTAAGAGAATTAAAATCAATTTCTTTTTCTTTGTAGAGGTTTGTGTAAAATTTTTCTACTATCATTTTAATTTCTTCTATTTTCTTTGTTTCTGTCCCGTTTTCCTTTTTTAATGTTAAAAACGTTTTACTTTTGTTTAAAATTTTCTTAAAAAAGTAGCGGGTACATTTTTCACCTTCCTCTACTTCTCTTTCTTTTGATCTTAAAATGATTCCCTTACTTTTTGTTTCTGCCAACTTTGACATTTCACTTTTTAATTTCTTTAATTTCATCTGTAACATTAAAACCAAATTCTAAAAGATTAAAATAACGCTGTAAGCGTCTCTGCAGTCCCAACATGCGGTTATTTTCTTTTTTCTTTTTTTCACGACCCACCCTTCTAAAAAAGTGTCGAGTCCTGTCCTTTACCATTTCCCACCAGTGCGCTCGTGTCTCGTGCAAGTCTTGAAGGGTCTGCCACTCTTGGTACTGCTCCCTGTACTGACGAGCTACATCAGCGTCTTTAAACAGGGAGCAGTTGAGCTTCCACAGACCACTTCCTACAGTCACACCAGAGGAGAGTGAAAGGGTGCAGGACAGCATCAGGTGATCTGAGAAAAAGACAGGGGTTAATGTAGCATCGGTGGGTGGGCAATCCCTGGTAAAAACGTAGTCAATGCGAGAGGCTCTGGTGCCGTCACCACTGACCCAGGTGAAGCCCTCCTCTCTAGGATGCAGGGTTTTGAAACAGTCCTGTAGTTTAAAATCCTTAACTAAACCCTGCAATAAAACCGATGTCTTGTCTAATTTAACATCTCCTGTCTTTCTCCTATCTTTTGTTGTTAAAATACAATTAAAATCACCCGCTAAAATAAGGGGGGTCGTGCCCAGCATGTGGGACTGCAGGTCTTCTAAAAGTTCGTGTCTAAAATGTTTTTCGTTAAAACCATAAATATTTAAGAGCCTAAAATCCCTCCCCATAAAATCCAGATGTACTAAAAGTGCCCGTCCGTCTCTCACCACAGTGCTGCCCTTAACCGTCACCAGGGGGTTTTTGATTAAAATGGCCACCCCGTCGTTTTTATTTTTCATTGGATCCGCTCCATAACGACGGGTGTGGCCACATCCCCTCCCAGTCCCTGTAGTGTTTTAAAAACGGCAGTGCACATTCTTGTAAAATAAAAACACATCTGAATTAAAAGTGCGGAGGTGGGATAAAATACTCTGGGCTCTAACTCTAGACTTAACACTTCTCACATTGATGGTAGAGAGTGTCATCGCCATGAGTATGGTTAAAAGAAGACACGTCATTTTAAAAGACTAAAAGAGACTTACAGTAAAACCACTTAAAACACAATTAAAATCCGGTTAAAACAGGCCGTTATGAAGGACCTTGTGAACTCGCCCCTGCCTTCCTCCTCGTGGGGGAGGGGGAAGGAGCTTTGGGCTTGTTCCTCCTCTGCCTCCCGACGGGCAGGTCTCGCGGAGTTGATTGCAGAGCGAAAGAGAGGAACGAGACCTCGTTGGGTGAGCCGGAGGGGAAGACTCGGGGATCCTCCACAGAGTCACTGTCTGAGAGAGTCCCCACTCTCCCCCTCTTCTCCGAGAGTAGGACACTCTCGGAGGACGACTCTGACAGGGGCCTCTTGGGTAACTGGGTGTGGGCGAGGAGGGCGTCCAGGCACTCGTTCAGGGGGTCTAGAGGGGAACCGCCCCCCAACACGTCCACCAGGTCGATCTGGGTCTCAGGGGAGACAGTCTCCCTCTCCGTTCCCCAGGTGGGCGGGACCTCCTCCGACCCCCCTTCCAGGGTGGGAGGGGCCTCCGCAGGCCCCTGCTCCCCCTCCTCCTCCTGTGTGGGAGGGGCCTCCCCCTCCCCCACCTGCGCGGGAGGGGCCTCCCCCTCCCCTACCTGCGCGGAGGGGCCTCCCCAGGCCCCACCCCTTCTCCCGCCTCCCCCTGCTCCTCTCCTCCAATCAGGGGTTTTGGCGGGAGATTTGAATTTCCCAGCCCCTCCTCTCCAATTAACTCAATTGGTCCTCCACCTTGTCCATTTTCGGGTCTACCGGCCTTCAGTTTGTTGGCAAAAGATTTGGGGCAACTTCTGAACAGATGATCAGACGCCCCACACAAGTTACACTTTCTGCCATTGGAACATTCTTCAAATGTGTGTCCAATTTCTCTACACTTACCACAGACCACTTGAGTGCAAGCCTCCACCAAGTGCCCGTGCTCTCCACACCTCCGGCAGAGCTTGGGTTGTCCCTGGTAGTGTATGTAGCCACGGTTTTCTCCCAGAACTATCATACTAGGCAGGTGCTTCAGGCCTTGGTAGCCCTGGGGGTCCTGCCATTGCTGGACAGGAACCCTCCAGCTGCCGGTCCAAATGCCGTCCACATCTCTAACCTTGATAGCCTGGCCCTTCACCGTGCAAAATCTTCCCAGCCATAAACAAATATCATCTGCACTCACAGTCTCATTGAACATCCTGACAATCACATGTTTCAGTGAATTATCATTCAGGTTCTCAACCGTGAACGCAGAAAACTGGGGCTCCACTTTTTTAAACCTTGTCCAGAATTCATTTAGAAGCAACACGGTACGAAAGCTCACGTCAAACCCTCTGTTGAAGGGCAGAGACAGGATGCAATTCAAGTCATCAGGCTTGAACGAGAGCACCTTCTGAACCAGGCCGCGGGAGAAGTCTAACCGGGAAAAAGGAGGCACCTTCCCGTTGACCTCCCGCAAAGTGAAGCGCACGCTGTGGTGCCTCCTCCTGCCGGCATGGGAGGCCGACATTCTGGAGGCACCAACAGCTAAAACCAACTAAAAAACACTTAAAACTATATCTAAAACCCACTAAAAAGACTAAAACCAGTTTAAAACAGCTAAAAAACAATAAAAGTGAAGCTAAAACCAGAGTAAATAACTTACTTAAAGTGCAGGTGCTCGGTTGTGCAAACTCCGCAAATAAGGTGCTGTAAAAAGGGGAAATAAACAAGAATACAGAAACAGAAAAAGTAACAGAAATAAGCAACAACAAAAACAATATATCCCCCGAGGGCCGAAACAAGAGCCACAAAGGCTAATGTTTTGGCTCCTAACGAAGACTTAGCCAAAAGGCCGAGAAGCGATGGCGCCGACGGCTCCGGGGAGCCGGGGGCTTCGCCCCTACGCCCCCTCCCGGCTGCGGTTCCGGGAGCGCCTCCAGGGAGGCGGAGCTTGGAATCCTGCGCAGCCGATCCTCCTCCTCCTCGGCAGGGAGCCCGACTCGAGGCGGTCCGACCGACCCGGGACCGACCCGACTGCCGACGGGGCGGACGAAAGCTTCTTCCCTGGAGAGGAGGAAAAATGAGTTTGTAGACCGGACTAAAGTTAGTTTGGTTGAGTACGCGCGCGCCGCTTCAGCTCTCAGGGCAGAGAGAGAGAGAGAGAGAGAGAGACACAGACAGAGACAGAGAGAAGAGAGAGAGGAGGGGAGGGAGAGGGGGGGAGAGGGAGGGGGAGAGGAGAGGGAGGGAGGGGAGGGGAGAAAAGAGAGAGACACACTTGTTTCTTTGGACAGGAGAGATGAGGGGAGAGCGCGGACGCAGTCCCCCACTACCAGAAATTATGCAGTTGAGATTCCCACATTTGGGGAATTCACAGGGGTCAGCACTTCCGGAGTGCAATGGACGAGCCTCGCCCTGGGCGAACCGCCTGGGTGATCACGGTGTCGCCCCTGCCAGGTAAGTATGAGGCGCTACTCCCGGAGCCCGGCCCCTGCTCCCGGCGGAGCGGCCGCCCGGGGACGGTCCGCGGGGTCCGGATGGCCGAGAGCGGGCGGGCGGACCCCGAGGAGGAGCTCTCGGGCCTGCCTGCCGCCCGCCCGCCCGCCGCCCCGCCCGCCCGCCCTCCCCCGAAGCCAGCGGCCTCTGGTTAGCGGCAAACTAACGCACGTGAACGTTCGCGCGGACGAGGGAAAAAGTCAAACGGGCACCGCCGGGACGACATTTAGGCCCAGACCTAGGCCACGCGACGCCGAAAGACCGGCTAAGCGGACGGCACGGCCGTGCGCGCGGAGGACGGAAAGTTACTTTGGACAGAGGCGCAAAGCCCCGCCGCGAGACGGGGCGTTCAAAAATTGAGATAATCTCTTGTTGTTCCTCTCCACGGAAATCTTTAGTAAAAGGCGAAAGATTTGTACGATCTGAAGAGAAACAAGAGTGTCGGGCCAGAGGG